CTACGCGCCAACGCGCCTTCACGCCCCTCCGACACACGCTCCAACGCGTTATCGCACACCATCGACTACTACAATTTTTACTCTCGACACGATATGTCATCCATTTCAACATGGCCCCCACATCGACTCGAGAGTGGGGGGCTTAATGATATGCCTAATTGGCCCAACGCAATGGGCCTACAAATTATTTACCTACTGGGCCACGAGCCCAATATCGAAGACCACTATCACCGAGGCCCAATCACCTTCAAGCAAGGTTTGGGCCCGAAAATCTCAACTAAGCTATAAATATACATTTGAACTCATTCCATAAGGTACATCCTATTAACTGAGCAATACGACAATACGTGTTCTCTGGACTATTTCTACTATCAGCACGTCTGACTTGAGCGTCGGAGGGGTTTCCGCCGGATCAACCCCCGGCTTAGTTCATGTGTTCTATGATCGCAGGTACCTCAGGATCATCAAGTTGTCAAGCTACTGATCTGCTTTGCTCTCCCAGCTCATTTTCTACACCACCCTAGGTGAGCTACATATTAGCATCATCACTTTGTGCTCACAGACAATGGGAATTGTTTGCGTGTTATCCAAAGACAAAAATACCTATTGAAAAAAATAAATAATACAAAATTAAGGTATACATCGACACTAAAACCAAATTATGCTAATTAAATGTTGCTATTGTTTGAAAAACAAAAAAACCAAAAAAGTAAAATAAATATAAAACTTGCAACTGTGTATTTTTTTATTTGGGCTCTTTTAGAAAACCCTCTCATTACTTCTTTTAATAGAGAGATTCAAAATATTTCTCTCTACTTGAGAAAAAATCCACATCCATTTCCAGCCATTATTTGTTTCAGTTTTGTCCTCGCCCGCCACATCATCACTGCATCATGTGCTGGTCATCAGCGTGTTTTTTTTTTCTTTTTTTCTTTTCAGTTTTATTAATCGACTATGAAGCATGGTTGATTAAGGTAAATCGACTATGAAGCATAGTCGATTAAGGAGATTCTTTAGTTTTATTACTTTTTTTTTGTTTTATAATTTTTTTTCTATATCAGCTATATTAATCTACTATAATGAAGCATAGTTGATTAAGAATCTACTACTAAAAATAGCAAATTACAACTACAAACAAATGCAAAATCAACTATATTTTACAAAAACAAAATATATAAAAACATTATAATTGATTTATACAATTGGAATCAATAAACAACAAATTCAAAAAAAAAAATGGAGTCGATCAACCTTAATCGACTACCAGAGCATAGTCGATTAGCATAATCGACTATGATGAAGCATAGACGATTAAGAATCTACTACTAAAAATAACAAATCACAACTGCAAAAAAATGCAAAATCAGTTATATTTTACAAAAACAAAAAATATACAAACATTATAATTGATTTATACAATTGGAATCAATAAAAAAAAAATGGAGTCGATCAACCTTAATCGACTACCAGAGCATAGTCGATTAGCTTAATCGACTATTGAACATGTACTTAGTCGATTAAGGTTCCAGCTTGCGCGAATTTCTCTACACGCGCCGTCCTCCGCCCGATCCACCAAAAAACCCTAAATCTGCCTCCCCATCGTCACCACACCGCCACCACATCACACTATTCAACCGATCCCTAACAAGAATAAAATAAATAATTCATAAAAAAAAAAAACACAAATTAGCATTTCAATGTCCACCCAAAAAACATAAACAATTCAAGGTATTTTTCAACCATTGCTCGTAACTCCATAAACAATTTCTCATGACAAAATAAACACTAAAAAAAAAAAAAAACCAACACCAAACACTAAAAAAATAATTAAAAAAAAAAACAAACAACCAAACAAACAAATACCTTCATCAACATCAATTGCAACAGTGATTTTCTCATGCCTCATCCTCGTAGCCGTCAACCCACTGCGCCCTCGACAACGAGTGCCAGTTTTCAACTTCAACGTCGTCGGTGGAAACCACCGCCGTCAACTACATATCCGTCACCACCCTTCACGGGGCGGCAAACACTCTTCCACCACCACCACCGTCGGTCGACGTCTGGTTTTTGACCCATCTCGGACCGCCTCATAGACCAAAATCGATTTTTCAAACATTTACATCAAAATTGTATAAGTTTTTGACCGCCTTCACCTCAGAGACCGATTAATCGGCCGTCTCGACTGATTTTTAGAATACTGATTGCAAATATTATTGGAGCAGAAAACAAAAACCTTACTGACAATTTATTTCAGAAGTAGATATTAAATAATATTCATACATTTTTAATAAAAGAATTATTGTAAATTCAAATATGTTATTACAAAATGTATACATGTTATATAAACTTCGACTATATAGACTATGTTACAAAATTTATTACCAGCGCGTTTCGGACATGTTTCGTATCCGACACCCGATGACACATGTCGGACACTTTATGAGCCATTTTGCAATTTCTGAAAAGTTAGAAACATGTTTGAATAGAAAAATTTCAAATATTTTTGTTGGTTCTCTAATTAATTACATGATTTAATAATCAATTGCAAATTGATAGTTGATAATAATAATTAGGTAAATTGCACTTTCCCCTTTGTACTTTGACTCGATATCACTTTACCCCATTGTACTCTCAATTGCATCGATTTGCCCCTCTGTACTTGAAAAATTATTTCAATGTGGCCCATGCCGTTAGTTTTATGACGTTTAACCTTAACATCGTTTGATCTAAGTATGAAAATTACAAAAAACAAATCACCCCTCGCAGTTTAAATAATTATTAAAAAAAATTAAAAAAATAAAAATAAATTGTGGCTGTCGTTCTGTACTATGCTTTCTCGTTGTCTTGAATTTTTTATTATTTCTTTTTTTGTTTATTTTTTAAAAATTATTTAAATTGGGAGGGGTGGTGTTTTTGTAATTTCAGAGTTTAGACCAAACGGTGTTAAGGTCAAATGTAATAAACGAACCTTTTTTCGTACTAATGATAAAACACCTTGGCATTCTATATCTTGGTCCCTTTGTCACAAGCATAGATATAGTCCTTACAGTTATTACAAGTACTAGTAATTGATCGTTAGGATCGTGAGATATTTACTTAAGTATTATAACTGTTAAACGTGTTCCTAGTCGAACGGTTATGCCACCAATGAGGATATCGGCCTTTCCCATTAAGAGACTAGCACTTAGTGTATGTGTACTGCATCTCATCAGTAAATGGTATTGTGATATCGGCATGCATAAGTGGGTGCTCGTAAGTTGACGAGTTCACTGAACTCCCTCACCCTAGAAATCTCTAAGTGGTTCCCAATAATCGAGTGGAGATATATGTGGTATAGTTGTACACCATTAGTCCTTATGACCTAGACATCACCATGACTTCACTAGAGGACCAGTTGTATCGTGACCTGTCCCTGAGTTCCACCGAGGACAGCCCCAAGTGCCGGTGTTCGTGTAGTCCGAAATCTAGTGGGAGGTCTGTGCATTGTAGTCGGGGATTCGATCGCTAGAATAGTCTTGGATGTCCCGTGTGTTCTGATAGTTTGTAATCATTCTAAATCTCTGACCAGAGCTGACTAAATGATGATTAGAGAATTCGATTCTCTAAGTCATGCACGTAACGATTACAACACTTAAAACGATCGCACCGTCATTGAACAAATAAAGAGGTCTCGATGAACCAATGCCTCTAGTTCAATCGGGACATATGAATCGAAGGGACCGTACTGTACGTTAACTATATCTGAAGGTTCTTGCAGGCACTTCATTTGTATCTAGGGAATCATGACGCGTAGTTGCTAGACGCCAATCTTGATTCGTTGGGTGATTAAGGTGAAACGAGCTTCATCTTAATCGTAACTCTAAGGGACGAGTTTTGACCACAAAGGTTTGTGGGCCCACGGTTAGCTTACACCTGAACCATCGAGGGTCACACTGCTCGTGCACATGAGATCTTTGAATAAACGGTCAAAGGTAAAATGGTTTATCTTTGCATGATTGGAAGTCAATATGATTGGGTCCAACATTCGTTATTTGGAATTATGAATGAGAATAAGAAAAGGAAAATAATAGGCGAACATCTTAGTGGACTTTCTAAATCGGGAAGTTTCCAAATTTAGAGAGTGCACTGAATCAGGGTTTCCACTTTTGGAAAGTTGGAAATTGAGAATTGGCACTCGTAATGACGAGGACATTATAAGGATTCCGAAATATAATTGTTACAATTTTCCAAACATCAAATTGAGAGAGACGAGCGAGCAGGGCCGGCCCTTATAGGAAGCCAAAGAAGTCGATGCTTTGGGCCCCCAATTCCAAAAGGGCCCAAAAAAAAATTTATTTTATATATATATATATATATATATATATATATATATATATATATATATATATATATATATATATATATATATATATATATCAACTATGTTGTTTACTTTGGTAGTGACGCCACCCAACACCTCCTGCAACTTAAATAAAAAATCATTTATTCTAATGGGTCCCTTGAGGCTTAAAGAAAAGTAAAAAGAGAAAAACATAAAAAATGGTTGTGTCCCTAATAGAAGGAAACGTAGAAAATATTTCTACTGAAATTACAATATCTCTCAATCGTACTTACTGTAATACTTTTTGTGCGCCTCCCCAAAATTAAAAGGTATGTTTTCTGTTATTCTATAAATTAGTTTCAATTTCTAGTCTTGCATCAAAATTTTAGGAAAAGGGGATATGGGTTCTTATTTATAAGTGTAGATTTATATTATATATTTTTTGTCGTTTTTCCTAGGCTATAATCTTTGAAGACTGAAGTTGATCCAAAAAATTGGTGTTTTCACGGAGAGGGCTACGGACTACATCTTTTGATTTTCGACATACAATTGCTAGTAATGGGTCCTCGAAAACATATGAGTGGGAATGAGAAAAAGAAAAAAGAAACTAAAAATTGAGAAATTTGTGCAATCTCTACCAACAATAAAGAAGTTTGTAACATTCGGCAATACTAGTACAATGGGTTCGGGTTCAACATCAATTGAAAATTCGATGAGCACTGATTTTCCAGTTGAGGCAGGATATGATTCGAATGTTGATGGCGATAATGAAGATCAAGTGAAATAAGAAGATGAGGTCTTGGTGAATGAAGAATCTAATCAACAGAAAGACGAAAATTTGAATGGAGATGACCAGGATAAAGATTTTCACGAAAGTTGTGAAGTGGGGCCGTTGAACATTTATGATCCTGGAAATCGGGCTAAGGTTGATCATAATCTGAGAAATATTTTGGTGGAAAGAGGACCGATAAGAATAACAGATAACGATGTCAGTTTTCCTAAAGATGAGAGTGATAGACATTTCTCTTGTACGCTTTATGTTCGAGATCTTTCGAGTGGGGAGAAAGAAGATAGAAAATGGTTAGTATATTCACTTGTTGAAGACAAAGTATTTTGCTTTTGTTGTAAATTGTTCAAACATGATAAAACCACTTCTCATCTAACTGCTGGTGGACATAAAGATTGGAGGAATATTAGCAAGAGACTTAAATGGATTGATCTGCAGATGAGGTTGAGAAAGCACGAGACAATAGATAAGAGTTTACAAGAGCAAATCAATAAAGAGAGGGAACATTGGCGACAGGTATTACTGAGGATAATTGCTCTTGTAAAAACTCTTGCTAATAATAATTTAGCATTTCGTGGAGATAATGAGAAAATTGATCTATCGCACAATGGCAACTTCTTAAGCTTTATCCAGATGATTGCAGAGTTTGATCCAGTTATGCAAGATCGCCTTCGGCGATTAAGGATAAATCAATTCACCATCATTATCTTAGTCACAAAATCCTGAACGAATTGATTCAAATGTTGGCCAGTGAAACTAAGAGTACAATTGTCAAAATTGTCAAAGAGGCGAAATACTTTTCCATAATACTTGATTGTACTCCTGATGTTAGTCATGAAGAACAGATGACTTTGGTAGTTCGGTGCGTAGATATTTCAGTTGTGCCAATAACAATTAAAGAGTTTTTTTTTGCAATTTCTGAAAGTGGATGACACAACAGGTTTGGGACTTTTTAATGTACTTGTTGATGCATTAAGCACTCTTGAACTTAATATTGCGGATATACGAGGTCAAGGATATGATAATGGGGCTAACATGAAGGGAAAACACAAAGGTGTTCAGAGAAGATTACTTGAAGTGAATCCGACAGCATTTTATACACCATGTGGTTGTCATAGCCTAAATCTTACACTTTGTGACATGGCTAGTTGTTGTACCAAAGCAGAATCTTTTTTTGGAGTTGTGCAGCGTATTTATACTTTGTTTGCGTCTTCTACAAAGCGGTGGGATATTTTGAAACGTCATGTACAGGAACTTACACTTAAGCCATTGTCTCAAACTCGCTGGGAAAGTCGTGTTGAAAGTCTCAGAGCTATTAGATATCAAGCGCCAAAAATAAGAGATGCATTACTAGACTTGGCAAATAGTAGAGAAGATGCCAAAACAAAGAGTGAAGCTAATTCTTTGGTTTCTCACGAACTTGAGAATTTTGAATTCTTGTTTGGCATGATTATCTGGCATAATGTGTTGTTCGCTATAAATGTTTTTAGCAAAATCCTTCAAGCTGAATATATGGATATTGATGTTGCTATCAAACAACTTAAGGGGCTCATTTCTTTTTTTGAGAAGTATAGAGAAACTGGGTTTTTAGAGGCTAAGGCAGAAGCTGAGGAAATTGCAAATACAATGGGAATTGATCCCGTGTTTTCTGAAAAGCGCATCATTCATAGAAGAAAACATTTTGATGAGAGCTCTACTGAAGACGTGGTACAATCGGCTGAAGAATGCTTTCGAGTGAAGTACTTTCTTTATGTGGTGGATCAAGCTCTTTTATCGCTTAGTACCAGATTTGAACAACTTCAGAAATATGATGAGAAGTTTGGTTTTTTGTTTGATTTCAAGAGGCTAAAATCAATTGATGATGAGACATTAAATACTTACTGTGTCAAACTTGAAGAATATCTAACACATGACACTTGCAATATTGACGGGATTGATTTATCGATGGAGTTGAAAGTTTTGAGATATGTTTTACCAGAAGAAATGAAAAGGCCAATTGAAGTCTTGAACTATTTACAGGTTATAGACGGTGGTTTTCCAAATACATGGATTACTTATCGGATATTGTTAACAATTCCAGTTACGGTTGCATCTGCTGAGAGGACATTTTCAAAGTTGAAGTTGATTAAGTCTTACCTTCGATCAACCATGTCACAGAAGAGACTAAATGGACTAGCTATGTTGTCTATTGAGAAGGATATCGTGAGGAAGATCGATTATTCGAGTGTTATTAATGATTTTGCTTCAAAAAAATGCTAGAAGGGTAATATATAAGTGACTTTTTTTATTGAATGTTTATGAGTTTTATCCTCCTTCATTATAATGTATTTATTTTTATTCGAAACTCTTTTTTCGCTTACTGAAGTTATTCTCGGCCTATATTTATTTCTTCACTAAATGTAATTTTTTTAGGGATAATGTAATTTGTTAGTAGTACCTTATTTTTGTTTTGGTAGTTTAATAAAAACTTGCAAAATAAAATTAACGATGGACGAGTTGTATTAATCTTAATGTTCGGCGAAAAAAAAAACTTACTAAAATTGGAACTACAAAAGGCCCCATTTTTCAATCTTGCTTAGGGCCCCCAAATTCATAGGACCGGGCCCTGCGAGCGAGTAAAAGAACCAACGAACTTAAGCTGTCGGGCCCGGTCCAATTTAAGTCCGTTAGGGTTTTATGCAAGACACTATAAATACTTGATTTATAGGTCTTGCACAAAGACGACACACGAAACCCTAACCCTAGCCGCTCCCTCTCTCTCTCGGCCATCTTCTCCCGCGGCCACCACTGCCGTCGCCGCCGCAAACTCGCCGGAATCGACCACCCCTTTGGCCGATCCCTTTTGGTAATTCTTTCCTTCTTTCTATTCTTCCATTTTTCTAACTATTACGTGTCTACTGTTGGGAATCGGACACGTGTACGCAGCGGAAAACAAAAAAATTATGCGATTTAAACAACTTTAAACACACATAAACACATGCCCGATAATTGAAACAATTAATTGCGTACCTTTGCGCTTCCAGCGAAATTTAAAAACAACATTCATGCTTAATAATTCAACCGAATTTAAATCAATTAGCATGCTCACGTTTAAATCAAATATTAATGCTCGCGATAAATAAATAATTCCATGTATTCACAAAAAATCATACAAGAACGAACATAAACATTCTATTTAAACATAAACGAATCAAGGAACAATGAATTCGTGAGTTTACCTCTTGAAGCGTGAGGTAGGCGCACTAAGCAAAACAAGATTGCTACGGAAACCAATCCGTACAATCCGGGGCAGCAGCGGTGGAGCGGCAGCAGCGGCAAGACGAGCCACGGCGGCGCGTGTGACTCACGCGCGGTCTTCGGGCGGCGCGTGGGGATGCGTGCGGCTTCGGCTCGTGTGCTACTCCTCGATTCTTCGATCTTCGATCTTCCTCCTCTCGAATTTCACCTTGTATACTTCGATCTACTCAACACGTGGCACTAGACACGTAATAGTTAGAAAAACGGAAGAAAAGAAATAAGGAAAGGAATACCGAAAATGATCGGCCAACGGATGGCCGATCCCGGCAATTTCCGGCGACGGCGGCGCGGGTGGCCGCGGTGGAAAGTGGCCGAAAGAGAGAGGGACGGCTAGGGTTAGGGTTTTTGTTGTGTGTTGTGTGTAAGACCTATAAATCAATTATTTATAGTGTCTTGCATAAAACCCTAGCGGGCTTAAGTTGGACTGGGCCCAACAGCTTAAGTTCGTTAGTTCTTTTACTTGCCCGTCTCTCTCAATTCAATGATCGAAAAATTGTAACGATTACATTTTCGGAATCATTATAATGTCCTCGTCATTACGAGTGCCAACTCTCGATTTCCAACTTTCCAAAAGTGGAAACCCTAATTCAGTGCACTTTCTAAATTTGGAAACTTCCCGATTTAGAAAGTTCACTAATACGTTTGCCTATTCTTTTCCTTTTCTTATTCTCATTCATAATTCCAAATTACGAATGTTGGACCCAATCATATTGACTTCCAATCATGCAAAGATAAACCATTTTATCTCTGACCGTTTATTCAAAGATCTAATGCGCACGAGCAGTGTGACCCTCGATGGTTCAGGTGTAAGCTAGCCGTGGACCCACAACCCTTTGTGGTCAAAACGCGTCCCTTAGAGTTACGATTAAGATGAAGCTCGTTTCACCTTAATCACCCAACGAATCAACATTGACGTCTAGCAACTACGCGTCATGATTCCCTAGATACAAATGAAATGCCTGCAAGAACCTTCAGATATAGTTAACGTACAGTACGGTCCCTTCGATTCATATGTCCCGATTGAACTAGAGGCATTGGTTCATCGAGACCTCTTTATTTGTTCAATGACGGTGCGATCGTTCTAAGTGTTGTAATCGTTACGTGCATGACTTAGAGAATCGAATTCTCTAATCATCACTTAGTCAGCTTTGGCCAGAGACTTAGAATGATTACAAACTATCAGAACACACAGGACATCCAAGACTATTCTAGCGATCGAATCCCCGACTACAATGCACAGACCTCCCACTAGATTTCGGACTGCACGAACACTGGCCCTTGGGATGGTCCTCGGTGGAACTCAGGGACAGGTCATGATACAGCTGGTCCTCTAGTGAAGTCACGGTGATGTCTAGGTCATAAGGACTAATGGTGTACAACTATACCATAGATATCTCTACTCGATTATTGGGAACCACTTCGAGATTTCTAGGGTGAGGGAGTTCAGTGAACTTGTCAACTTACGAGCACCCACTTATGCATGCCGATATCACAATACCGTTTACTGATGAGATGCAGTACACATACACTAAGTGCTAGTCTCTTAATTGGAAAGGCCGATATCCTCATTGGTGGCGTAACCCTTCGACTAGGAACACGTTTAACAGTTATAATATTTAAGTAAATATCTCACGATCCTAACGATCAATTACTAGTACTTGTAATAATTGTAAGGACTATATCTATGCTTGTGACAAAGGGACAAAGATATAGAATGCCAATGTGTTTTATCATTAATACGAATAAAGGTTCGTTTATTACAATAATAAATACGAAAGACCACAGCCACATGTTGGCTTGTTGGTCACCTACTCTAACAATCTCCCACTTGACCTAAAGCCAACTAACCATGAATCGTAATCCCTTCGACTCTCGATGTTTCTCATGGACCGATTTCGGTAAAGGCTTCGTGAAGGGGTCTGCAACGTTCTCTTCCGAGGTGACTCGTTCTACTTTAACTTCACCTCTATCAATGATCTCTCGGATCACATGATACTTCCTCAGAATATGCTTCGACTTCTGATGAGATCGCGGCTCTTTAGCTTGTGCCACGGCTCCGGTGTTATCACAGTACAACGAAACTGGATCGCTAGCATTAGGAATGACACCCAACTCTTGGATGAACTTCCTTATACAAGTCCCTTCTTTTGCGGCTTCGGATGCTGCAATGTATTCTTCGGTAGTGGAATCAGCCGTCGTGCTCTGCTTGGAACTCTTCCAACACACGGCACCACCATTAAGCGTGAATATAAATCCCGAATTCGACTTTGAGTCGTCCACATCCGATTGAAAACTAGAGTCGGTAAAACCCTCTAATTTCAACTCGGTACCCCCATAGACCAAAAATATATCCTTAGTCCTTCGTAAGTACTTGAGGATATCTTTCACGGCTTTCCAGTGAGCCGGGTCGGGGTTAGACTGATATCTGCTTGTGACACTCACAGCATATGCAATATCGGGTCTCGTACATAGCATGCCATACGTTATGCTTCCTATGGCAGAAGCATAAGGCGTCATTTTCATCTCCTCGATTTCACTAGGTGTTTGAGGACACATAGATTTCGAGAGACGAACCCCATGGGACATTGGCAAGAATCCCTTCTTGGATTCTTCCATGCTAAACCGTTTCATAACGGTGTCTATGTACAGGCTTTGGGATAATCCAAGCATCTTTCTTGATCTATCTCTATAGATGCGTATTCCTAATACATAGGATGCTTCTCCCAAATCCTTCATTGAGAAACGTGTGGACAACCATGCTTTCGTTTGTTGCAACATTCCTACGTCATTCCCAATGAGTAGAATGTCATCAACGTAAAGCACTAAAAATATCACTGCCCTCTCACTAACCTTCTTGTATACACAAGGTTCCTCCGGATTCTTCTCAAAATCAAACTCTTTGATAGTTGAGTCGAACCTAATGTTCAAACTACGGGATGCTTGTTTCAATCCATAAATGGATCGCTGGAGCTTGCAAACCTTTTGCTCACTTCCAGAAGATATGAAGCCTTCCGGCTGCGCCATGTAAATTTCTTCCTCAATATCTCCATTAAGGAAGGCGGTCTTCACATCCATTTGCCATATCTCGTAGTCGTACCATGCACCTATGGCCAGCAAAATCCTAATGGACTTCAGCATCGCGACTGGCGAAAAATTTTCCTCATAGTCAACACCTTGCCTTTGAGTGTATCCTTTCGCTACCAATCTAGCTTTATAGGTCGATACCTTTCCATCCACTCCAATTTTCTTCTTATAGATCCACTTGCAGCCTATAGGAACAATTCCCTTAGGTGGATCTACCAAGGTCCACACCTTGTTGGAGTACATGGAGTCCATCTCGGATTTCATGGCAGTTAGCCAATGTCCCATGTCCGCATCCGATACGGCCTCATTGTATGTTCTTGGATCTTGTCCAAGATCAACATGATCTTCATCATTCTCGAGGAGGAATAACCTATCCGGCATTTTCCAAACTCTTTCGGATCTACGTACCGTAGGTTCAGGAGGTATATTAGTGGTTTGTTGTATTGGTTCGATTACTTGTTCTTGCGTTTGAACTTCACTTTGTGGTTCTTGAACTACTTCAAGTTCTATCATGCTGCCTTTTTTATCGGATAGAAACTCCCTTTCCAAAAAGGTGGCATTTCTCGAAACAAACGTCTTTGCTTCCTTGACATAATAGAATTCGTATCCCATTGAGTCTTCGGGATATCCCACAAAATAGCATAAGTCGGATTTACTATCCAACTTGTCTCCCACTAATCGCTTCACATAAGCGGGACAACCCCATATCCTAATATGTTTGTAGTTGGGTTTCCGGGAATGCCAAAGTTCATAAGGTGTGGATTTAACTGCTTTGGTGTTAACTCTATTCAGCAAATACGCAGCAGTGCGAAGTGCATGACCCCACAAGTATGCCGATAAGTTCGTGAACCCCATCATTGGTCGAACCATATCTAATAAGGTTCTATTCCGACGTTCGGAAACTCCATTAAGTTGAGGAGTTCCAGGCGGAGTCCATTGAGATTGTATCCCATTTTCTTTTAGATAGTCAATGAACTCAATGCTCAAGTATTCTCCACCACGACCGGATCGCAGCTTCTTAATACTTCGTCCGAGTTGCTTCTCTACTTCATGTCTAAAATCTTTGAACCTTTCAAATGTTTCAGACTTGTACTTCATCAAGTACACATACCCATACCTAGAATAATCGTCGGTAAAGGTAGCGAAGTAGTTGTATCCACCCTTCGCACTCACACTTAGTGGACCACATACGTCTGTATGCATCAAATCCAAAAGACCCTCGGCTCGTTCCATTTTCCCTTTGTAGGGTGACTTGGTCATTTTTCCTTTAAGGCAAGATTCACAAGTTTGTAGTGATTTCACGTCCCCCAAAGAGAACACGCGCCGCCCGAAGACAGCACGTGAGCCACACGCGCCGCCGTAGCTCGCCTAGCCGCTGCTGCCGTTTCGCCGTTGCTGCCCCGGATTGCACGGATTGGTTTCTGTGGCAATCTAGCTTTGCTTAGTACGTCTACCTCACGCTTCAAGAGGTAAACTTTCGAATCCATCGTCGTTAGATTCGGTTACGTTTAAATTATAATATGCATGTTCGTTTATGTAATATAATTGTATGATTTTATGTGACTACATGAAATTGTTTATTTACTACGAGCATGTTATTTGATTTAAACGCGAGCATGCTAGTTGATTTAATTTCGATTAAGTAATTAAGCCTGTATGTTGTTTTTTAATTTCACTGGAAGCGCAAAGGTACGCAATTAATTGATTTCAATTATCGGGCGTGTGTTTATGTGTTTTAAATTTGTTTAAATCGCATAAATTTTTTGTTTTCCGCTGCGTACACGTGTCCGATTCCCAACAATATATATAAGGGGTAATTTGTTAAACACCCCTGAGCTCAAATTTCTTTCGAATTAGGACAGTAAAGATTTTGCAATATGTTAAAACCCCTTTTTTCTTCACAGCCGCCTTCATAGCTCCAACCCTAGCTGTTCTCCGTCAGATTCATAGTTCGTTACACTCTGTATGTTATTCCTTATTAGTTGACAAGGCCTTCACTCAGCTATTTCCCGAGCTAATTAGTTCGAGCCTCGAATTATGTTATTCCTTATTAGAAATACTCGTTGTATGCATGCACTTACACACTGTGTTGACAAGCCTTCAATCAGCTATTTCCCGAGCTAAGTTCGAACCTCAAATTAAGTTATTCTTTCTGAAGATACTTGATGTCTTATGCTTGCACTTACACTCTTCATCAAGGCATGTCTCTGTTAGTTGACAAGGACTTAACTCAGCTATTTCCCGAGCTAAATCTGCACCTCAAATTCTGTTATTCTTTGTAAATATACTTGCACTCTTTATCAAGCATGTCTATTAGTCGATCAGGTATTTCCCGAGCGAAATTCGAGCCTCAAATTATGTATTATGCTTGGGCGTACGACGCTCTTTATCAAGCATGTCTGATATAGTTGATACATACAGCATTAACTGAGCTGATATATCCCGTGCTTCAGCATTATGATATACTTATTTTAATTAACTAATTATTTTTTTAATTAAATTTCAGATTGGCATTACTTGTGTACTGTTGGTCCGTGACGTGATCCTACTATTGGTGGTAAACAACAAGTGGAGCTTCATGGCTACATGTGGTAGCCCCTTCTCTCTCATTGATCGGCTTCATCCTCAGTATTAAATCATACTTGGAGAGAGGATTTGAGATGGGGTTACTTTTCTCTTAGTGGTTGACATATGCCTTCCATGAGAGAAAGATTGGCAATATTTTACTGCTCAATACATATGATGTCTGAATTTATTGATTTTGCTAGGGTGATCCCTGGTTATCTAACGGAGAGGAATTGGTTACTTACCAAGTTTTAGAGTATTACTAGTATATAATAGCAATTCTTGTAATAATTCTCTCCTAGGAAATAAACACACGTACATATCACACACGTGCCACTTAGGTTGAAAACATACATATTACATACTTGCCACTTGGGTTCAAAATTTTCATGTGGCCCCCCTCCCCTGTTTTGGGTTTTTTTTGTTTGTTGAAAACATACATACGTGGCAACATATTTTGGATTTTTGATTGAATGATTTTCTCTCTCTCTCTCTCTCTCTCTCTCTCTCTCTCTCTCTCTCTCTCTCTCTCTCTCTCTCTCTCTCCTATCTTGAATTCACTTGATTGAATAGATGTAAAAGCAGAATATATATTTTACTACTGCTATGCTTTTTGTAGAATGATTATCCATTTATCAGCTTTAGATCGATAGATATAAAATATAAAAAAGTCAATGATTCATGCAAAAAAGCTAAAAAGAAACTTTGTTCAGTTTGCATGCAGCCTTAAGCATTAACTAGTGGTTCAAGCTTTTAACTTGCATTGCATGTAAACCAAACACACGCTGCTGTTGCTGCTGCTGCTGCTGCTGTTGCTGCTGCTGCTGCTGCTGCTGCTGCTGCTGCTGCTGCTGCTGCTGCTGCTGCTGCTGCTGCTGCTGCTGCTATGTTTACCATAAAGAGCCCGAAATGATGATCTTAAGCTCATCATTTCCGTATTCCAGTTGTTCCCTCTGAACATCCAATGCCGAATTTGCGACAGATTTGCTGCACGAATGTATGTCAACGACCTGCAACGTCGGAATATCCCCCAAGCTACGAGGAAACTTCTTTAGTTTCCAGCACTTGTGCATAACGAGTCGTTGAAGCCTTGGAAAATGATCGTCAGATGTGTTCCATCTGCGGATCTTCAGAGCATCGAGTTTCAAGAATTTGAGCTCCCGGAACTCGTCGTCGTTGGTCTTCCATTCTTTTCCGTCAAACACGGTGTAGAGCAGCTTTAGAGCCTCGAGCTTCGGCAGTCTTCCTATCATCGACATCTCGTCCCGAGACAATTTGAAGTCGTGCAGAGTCAGTTTCTTTAGGCTGGATGGGAGATTAAGAGTGTCCGGCAACTTCAAGTACTCACCGCCTAAGTAAGATATGTTAAGCGATTCAAGCATCGTAAGGCAATCATCCAACGCGACATAACGATGGCACTTCTCCGACGAGTCCCATAACGGCTTGGTTGCGCACTTGAGTCTGCGAACACGGGGTAAGAAGCATCTCAATACTTTCTCGTCGTCTTCATGAATAATCCAAAGATCGGAAACGCTTTCGAGGCTATCCATTCGAAAGCTCTTCTCCACAAGTGCCGCTCGTCTATGGCAAGATTCGCCGAATGTGGCGTGCTCTGCAATGTGCAGATGTCTCAATTTCACCAAATTTAGGAAATCCTCCGTAATCTCGACACTTCCGGGACCGTAGAGAAGAAGAAATTCAAGGTTCTCAAGGCGGCCTATCGATGGTGGTATGTGGTCTTCGGTAACTCTAACTGCCAAGTACCTCAAGTGAACCAGCTGCTCGATACCACTTACATTGATCGGATCATTTTTCGCTGACAAATCCAAGACCCGTAGAAGTTTCATTCTTGAATAAATGAACGAGATACCTGGCCAGTGGCCCAGCCAAGAGCGGATGTGCAGGCCGAAAGGTCTCGATTCAACATCGATGGATTCAGGTGGGATACACACGCGATGGTTCCTCTCGTACACTGAAAATCGACTGTAGAAATCATCACAGCAGCAGGCAGCAGCATTAGCATTAGCACTAGCATTACAAAAACGAAAAAAAAAAAAGTAAATAAACATAAGGAGCAGAGATAGCTTACTCTTTGATTACATTCATAAAGTTCTCTTGTTTAGCTTTTCTCAAGCACAATTCGCGCAGAAGATCGTGAATACTACAAGCTCTGACTCCTCCACCCGATCGACTTTTGGCTATTAGTACAAGGCTGCGGTCGACTAGGTCCGTCAGATATCCTTCCGCTACATCCTGCGCGCTCTTCTGACCTTGTTCGAGTACAAATCCTTCCGCTATCCAGAGCGACGTCAACTTGCCGACAGGAATTTCGCTATCTTCCGGGAACGCTCCGAAATAAAGAAAGCACGGTTTCAAATGAGCTGGCAAGTGCTCGTAGCTCAGTTCCAGTATCTTCATACACATACTAGAGTCTGTAGAAATTTTAAAACTCAGATTTCCCGCAACCTCATCCCACAACCCCTTGCGGTTCCCCATGTTTGCAAGAACCGCAGCTATCACAACGACCGCGAGCGGTAGTCCTTGGCAAAGCGCTGCGATTTTCTACCCGACGTCTACTAAATCTTGCGGAGGAGGATCTCCGCCCCGGAACAATTTCCGCTTGAGTAAATCCCAGCACTGCTCGTGCGACAGAAAAGGGAGAGTGCGAACGGTACTACCCGGTGGCGCCACGTCTTTAAGCCGGCTGGTGATTAGTATTCTGCTTTCGTTTCCATCGTCCGGGAGATACCTTCCCACGTCATCCAACACAGCCGAGGCCCATACATCATCCATCATGATAAGGTATCTCCTCCCCTTCAAGGTTTTGTGTATCTCTACGCCTAAACTCTCGGCATCCATGCTCGACATTCTATCACGGTCAAGGTCACATATCGACTGCAGGATATCGGCCAGCAGACGTCTCCTCTGATACTTCTCGGAGACAACAATCCAGGCACGGCGATCGAATCGGTACAGCGCAGCTGGTCCGTCGTACAGTTTCTTCGCGAGAGTCGTCTTACCAATTCCAGGCATCCCGGAGATGGATATAACCATTAGCTGTCTCACTCCTCCCGTAAGTTGATCAACAATTATCGTTGCCTCGTCCTCGATTCCCACAACAATGCCATCATCGATGGATGCGTTGACCTTGATCTCTTCCGGTCCTACTACCTTAATATTATCGATAACGTTCGAAAGCCTAGGTTTGAGATACCACACGGGAACATCTCCAACCCCGAACGAGTCGATAAGATATTTGACATTGTTGCAATTCTCCTTGATTTCTTCGAGTCCGAACCCGATCAGCTTAATCTTCTGGATAACATGAGGGAGCCTGAGGGTGAGATACCATACAGGAATATCTCCGACGACAAATGTGTTGATTAGGTATTCAGCTTCATATGCCGAGTCTATAATCCACAATACAGGCTCCGCGTAAGGCGGCGGCTGCTGCTCCTCCTTGAAAACTTCAAGCAATGAACTCACGAGCATTAGCTCCTCGAGCAGAGTCGTCACTATTCCGTTGCACGCATCAGCAATCGGACCACCATCCCGACTCATGAGTAGTTCTTTCAGGCCATTGACTAGAGAATTCACTACGAAAAGAGAATCCACGTCAGCGGTCGGAGCCGTAGAACTCGGCAAGAGTGGAACTCCGAGGGAACAATGCTCTTTGATCTTCGCTTCCACGCGCTGAAACATCTTGAGCAGTTCAGTAAGCGAAAGATCGACCCTGCTCAGATGCGATTCGTTCGTGAAGAAGTACAGATGCAAGAACCTTGCCGCGTCGTTGGCCACATCCATTACTTGTTTCAAGACATTGTTGTTGGTTCTCTCGATCTCGGTGCAGGTAAAGGGCGTATCGCCTAGAATGGCGGCGAGAAACGTAAGCTGTTCCTGCATAATACCGATTTCGTCCTCGAGTGGATCGGTCAAATCTGAATGGCACTTCACTATTTCCTCCACTGTATCGAGGAGAAAGTCGAGAAAGCTGGCGAGAAGTTCGTTAGGCCTGTAATTACTGCAATCGGCACACAAGTCCACCACTTCTGGAACTCTGAAGAAACCCCCGAGATTTTCAGTGAAAGAGAGGACCATCCCGGGAAAACGAGAGGTGTTTCTTGAAGCCTCGAGGCTCTCTAGCAGCTTGATGGAGATGTCGCCAGACGAACGCGATCGCTGCAAGTAGCGAACGACGGCGGATACATGGCTTCCGTTCCACATGAAAGTATAGAATTTCTTGAATATTTTCGAGTTCAGACGCCGCAACGTATGACAGAGTTCCGGATTCTCGAGCAAATCCATTCTTCGGAAACTGAGAATGTAACTATACCTCTCCCCAAAAAAAAAAACCACAAAAGAAACACTAATACTAATACTACCATACCACTCTATTCATCACAATTTTCATCTTTGCATCATATTCATTTTTTTTTATTATTATTTTGTCTTTTTCTGAACAAACTACATGTTATGTTATTTAATTTGAGATTAAAATACACTATGATCCGCATCTTCCGCCGCCAGCATCCACTAAACAGATGAAAATATTGACATAATTGATATGTTTAATAACTCAGAATCTCCCCCACCTAAACCATATACCAATGTGCTGACTTTTTTTTTTTTTTTTTTTTTTTTTTTAAGGAAAGCACATGTGAGTGTGACATGTTCGTGGAAAATCATATAATCAGACAGAATTAATTAATTAGTAGGGCACTTGGAGTATAAAATCATATAATCATACAGTCAAAGCTTATGATTTTATTAGAGAGTAAACGTCAAAAATTACATCTGTGTAATCTCCAAATGTGTAATCTCCAAAGTGCAAAAAAAACCCTATGATAAATATACATTTTGAGGGTCAATTTCGTTATTTTACGTCTAAAAACCAACTATCAGTCGCGCATTCCGCGAGTTAGCCACACGAAAGTCAACTAAATTTCACAGGGCGATTTTTGCTAGTTTATTTATTACATGGGAATTTTTTGCTATTTGGAGATTATACAGGGGTAGTTTTTGCAGTTTACTTATTTTATGTGTCACTGAAGTTAGTGCTTTGTTGCTAATGACATGTATAATTGACTAATAATTCACTTTATATTATTCACTGGTAAAATAAATGTATGATGAGATCTGAAGTGAATAGTGATTCAACCTACGTTTAAAGTCTGCAATAAAATATCACTATTAATATAATTAGTAATGACACTTAGTGCTCGTTCGGTTACCGCTATAAGGTTCTACTGATTAAATAGTAGGGACTAATAACATGTTCTGTTGGCAATATTCACACTTTTTCAAACCCGCTACTAAAATCAAAGCTCGCTATTAAATGCTATTATTTCATTAAATTAGTAGCACCCCCGAGATTAATTTTATAGGAGGTGACTAAAAAGGAAAAATACAATTTTATCCTTAAAATCATATTTTATTATTGTAAACTAAGTGGTTTTATAGACAATTCATATATAATAACTGATTTTAACAAATTTAATAGAAAATCTAATCTATGAAACCGAACATGCTACTAACTAAATAATTAATTAGTCAATAGGGAGTTAATCCAATCTCACGTAATACAATCTAATCCAATATAGGTAACCGAACGAGCCCTTAGTCTACAATTTAATTTTAGGTGGATATTACACGAGAGGGAAAAATTAATGATGCATTAAGTTATTGTTAGTCTAACTAATACTTTTTTTCCCTTGCGTTGCACAGACGAATAATAACAAAAAATAAATCAAAATAAATATAGGTAAATAAATGATAATAAAAAGGGAAAATGTGGGATAACCCCTAATTTTGAAAATATATATGAATAGGTTCTATGGATATTTCTTTCCTAGTCAAAAACCCAAATTCTAATCTTAATTTGACAGACCCCCCTGGACATTTTGAAATACCTCATTTACCCTTTTAATTACAATTCAAACCCTAACCTACCTTTTCTCTTTCCACAAACTCTATCAGCCGTTTTTCATTCTTTCTCCTTCTCTCTTTCTTCTTTCTCTCTCTAACTCACTTTCTCTCTAACTCTTCTTTCTCTCTCCTTTTTCCTCTATCTTTCTTCTTTCTCTCTCTAACTCAATATCTCTCTCTGCGGCACACAACTCTCTGCGGCCACCTCTACTCCCACCGTCTTGCGCCGCCCATCGCCGTTGTTTCCTCTCACCTCATTGCGCCGCCGACGTTGCTCTCCCACAGCCTTGCGCCGCCGCCGCTGCTCCTCCCACAGCCTTGCGCCGCCGCCACTTTCGCCTGCTCGACGCCAATCACCGCCTTCAATCACCGGTCCAAATCGAATATAATCGGTGATGCCAAAAACACGATGGATGAGGGTTTGTTTGTTTTAAATTCGTTTTAAATCTCTTTGTAGTTCCGTTTGAAGAAATGGTTTCTACGTTATTGTTTTAGGTTTTTTTTTTTTTAGGGATGGCTCAAATCAGATCTATTATTTCTTATAAAAAAAACAGAGATCTACCATGTTTTTCAAGATCTGTGAACAATTAATATTAGAAAAAAAATCGTTGCATTAATTTGATTATTTATTTTGTTTGATTCTTATCTTGTTCATTTTTGTTATCATTCATATGTAATTTATTTTTTTGTATTTATTTGAAAATGATTCGAATTACCTCAAATGTAAGAGCTTTGTTTGTCTGTAGTAGAAACTTAATCAGTAGTGGTTACTTAGATGAGTGATTTGGTTCAGGCTACATATAACTACACGTGACTATATAATTTGTAGTATACTATATGTAGTCATATGCAGTCATATGTAGTCATGGCTACATATAACTATACATGACTATAGAATTTGTAGTATACTATAGTCATTTGTAGTCGATTTCACTAAGGTAAATTTATCAAAAAAACAAAAAAAACCAATGTTCTTTTTGTATTTTTTCATATAATAAAATGAATTGTTTGATGAATTGTTTTCCTTGAGTTGGGTGGCGGAGTAGAACAGTAGTGGGAGATATTTTTTTTTTTTTTTTGTATATTTTTACTGCATTTATAAGATGAAAATTGCCTAGTCGTATATAGTCACATGTAGTAACAAGAATGAACATAACTACATGTGACTATAGTTGACTA